GCAGACGTACGCATACGATACGTTGTTCATGTGCTCTTATTTTTCATCAGAATTTGGCGACGGCTCACCTGAAATGACCATCCAAGTGTGACTCTCTTGGCTTTGCATTCCGAGCATCAAATCATTTTAGAACCTAATCGATATACTTTTCTTTGGACAACTCCAAATTCTCTTTGGATCTATCCCAAGTATTTGCTTTGTTGTTCCGTTCTTTCACTTCAAACTTCTTTGATAGTTTATTTTTTTAATTTATTGATCTATCTTCTACTTGCTCCTACAACTAGCATATCATCAACATAAAGTAACAAAATAACGAAAGATTTGTCAAACCTCTTGACGCAGAAACATATCCATCTCACATCTAATAACTCATGTTTACACATGAAATCTTCAATTTTCTTTGTAACATTATCTTGGTGCTTGTTTCAGCCCATATAAGTAATTTAGAAGGTCTCACATTAAATTTTCTTCTTCTGGAACAACAAACCATTAGTGTTAGATCTTTATGAAAAATTCCAATCTTCACATATAGATGTTCCAGATGTAAGTCTTCAGCCATAATAACACTTAAGATTATCCTGATGGTAATCATCTTTACCACTAATAAAAATACATCGTTGTAGTCAATTTCTCATAGCCATTAAAATCCTTTAACCACCAAACTAGCCTTATTTCTTTTGCTCCCATTAGACTCTTCTTTTGCTCGATATATACACCCAATAGCCTTTATGTGATAGTTATAGCGTTAAAGGTTTGCTCTTCTCTAGAGAGTTCATCTCCTCTTTCATGGATTCCTCTCAATTGATTGAATCTCTAGCTTGCAATGCTCCCAAGTAGTGTTATGATTCTCTATTATATGTCAATAGTAAATAATATGAAAATAGCAAGTATCGTTGTGTGGGTTTAGGTTGTTTGAGACATTCTCAATGATGGATTAAATGGCTTTAGGGTCCCTTATAAAGGTGCTTTTATATTAATGCTAGGATTTTTTGGGATTGAAAAATAAAAGATGAATTATACATGTTTTTTTCTCATACTTTTTAATTATGGTCTATCCTTAAATAATAATTATTTAAGTGATTGTTCGATTGTACTAGGTCGGTCGATTGAACTGAAGTGAGTGATCGAACCAGTGTGCTCAATCGAACCCAAAAGTGTAGGTGATCGGCTCGGGACAACCCGTTGATCTCATTTTTATGAGGCCTATCTCTTTTTCTTGAATCTAGGATCTAGCCTTTAGATTTTCCTAATGCTCTCCTAGAGGACTATTGTTGAGACCCACTCTAATTAGAAATTGAATCATTTCTTAACACCTTATAGTCTTATATGCTTGGTTTTAAATCTTTAGTATTTGGTTGATTTGATTAAAATCAACATATTAAAACTCAATTAGAGTTCCTATAGGTTTAAAAGGCCTTAGGACAACCCTCTAAGTTTAGGGGTTTAGGTTTGATACTGTTGCACTTTCACTCGCCTTCCCTTCACTCACCTTCACTTCACTTACTCTCACTCACTTTTAGATAACTCATTTCTTAACTTTTATGGAGTTCATTTTAATTATGATGCACTCTTTAAGAAAAGAAAGGTAGCTATCTATTTAATAATTAAAACCATTAATTTTTTTTTTATTTTCTTCGAAAAAATATTAAATCATTAAATCAAAATTAACATAAAAGGAAAATCTTTCAAAAATCTATAAATACAATCTTTAAAATTTTCAAAATAACATTTAATTAATCCACAAAAGATAAGAGATAAAAAATGTATAATAATACAAACAATTAAAATTTCACACGCATGTACACCCTTCACTTAATAAATATCCCCAAATTAAAACCTAATTTGTTGAGATGATTCTTGGCCATTCTCTTCATACCTATAACCCATTTAGTGAACTCATCATGTTGGAATTAAATTTAAATTAATTTGAACTCAAATCTGAATCAAATTGAATCCATTTTGACACTTAGTTTGAAGTCACCTTCAAGCTACCATTTCTAATTAAATTTAATACCTTTTTGAGCCCCTCTTTGTGTTGAGCTTATCTATGACATCTTGAAATTGATTTGCCCCATTTGTGAGTGTAATTTCAATTGATCTATAAGCCAAATCTAAACCGAAATGGAACTATACTTGAACTTGGCATTAAACCAAATTCAAGCTTATTATAAAACATTCATTAAATTGATTTTGGCTCTTCATTTAACCAATCCTCTTGATGATTCGATTGAGCCAAGTCAACCACACCAAGCTATATTCATATGAGCTTAATCCATGTCCATGTGAGTCCATACAAGCCAAATCTAGATGCTTCACTTTGTTGAGCTAGCCTTTGCCTTTAACCACCTTCCCCACATGGCATCTTCCTATTGGCTCTCCTCAAAACCTCCTCAACTGATTACCCTAACCAACCCAACAACAAGGAGGAGTGGCCACATGTGTCAACCCGTGGCCATGGCCATTGGGCCAAGTTTGCCTTAATCGAAAATCCACCATGGCACGTCTTCATTGGAAGCTCCATCCACTTGGATCACTTCTATTGGTCCTCCTCGATTGACTCAATACCACTTCAGCAATTAGTGGCAAAAGCAAATAGGTCAATGGGAGCAACACCTAGACGACTCTATAAATGAAGCTCATTTTTGGGCTAAAAGAGAAGTAATCCTCCCCTTGGCAAAGCACTGTCAAATTCACTCTAAAACAACTTCTTAGAGCTCCACCATCCCTTCTGCATCAATTCCACTATTCCAAGACCAAAATTTCACAATTAGAGCACTAAATTGAATCAGTACAAATCAAATTACCACTGCTCTCAGCTTCATTCTTAAATTCAACACTTCTATCACCTTCCTTGAGTGGAGAAATTAGTTCTCCAATCAAAATTTACTTACTGTGAAGCTCTCCAGGCCACTGTTTGATCAAGGAGTGAATGATCTCGATCGAATTCGTATACAAAGATAATTTACTTTTCAATTATCATTTAGAACATACTTATTGGATCATTACGAAGCTAATAGTTGGTTTGATTGAGGAGATCACCACCAGATTGTGGTACATTTTAATTTTTTTAATTCGCTTCGATTTTGGACCTTTGTGAAACGAACATGCATGCTAGACGAGCTTAGTCATTGGATACGTAGGACTTGGTGTGATGAACGTGTAGAGCTTTAAATTTTTTAAATCCATTGAGAAATAAAGAAGATAAAACAGTTTTTCTATTGACAGTGCTCGGTTCTTATCCCTTAAGAGATGATGAACCGATGCAGTCCTTTTTTATTTAAAGAAATGAACGGCTCAGATTAATGCAGAATGGTGCAACACTGCTCGAGCCGCGCACGAGATCGAGGAGGTGGAGCTGATGTAGAGGTTGACGCAGCCAAGACAATGAATAAGAGCAGAACACGCGGAAAGGGATGCTGAAGTGGTAGCTAACACGACGAGCCTTTAAAGAATAAACTATTTAATTATTTATAATTAATAAAACCCCTTCAATTCAACAGAACTTTAAAAAATCACAGGGAATTAAAATAAAATAAAAATATCAGTTGTGGGCACAATAAACATGTTTACCAGAAGAGTAGAAGAGTAAGTGTCTAGAGCTCCTGTGTATGAGCTGGAGATATCTCACTTAGGTACTCTACAATTAGAAGTAGAGAAGAGAATCATAAGATTTGAAAAATACAAATGGTTTTGATTGAGTTAATTGAATGATCAACATTCATTAATATGATACTAGCACTGAGAAAATATTCACCATTGAAGAGTAGCAAAAATGAAAAAAGATTTAGTTGAGAGAAACAATAGGTAAGCAATAAGATTCTAGGTCCATTGATATATTAAGATCAGACACTAGAAAAGTCTTTATTGCCTACAAAAAGAACTTAAAAAAATTTATAATGTGTCTTCATCTTGGTATCTATAAAGGCGATACTCTTCAATTTGGTCAAATCAATATAATTTTTAGACAAGAAGAATGAGATAAATTTACTCAAGGTTGACATCCCTACTAAATTAAATGAGTTTACTAATTAAAGTGCTTAGCTCTGTCAAAATCCAGCTTGTTATATGAGGTTAATCATAGCTTTCTTAAATTTAATTCAGCTTTTCTCACGGCTTACAAGCTTAATATGTTTAAGTTGAGTTTCTTCAAGATCTGAATTCTTATGGATTCAGGTTTCTCACACAAAAACTTTCATATTTACACACATTGCAATACTCAATTCTTATATATCTATTTGATTCAGTGACAATTTCAGATTCAACAATATAGTGACATTTTTTATGGTATTAAAAATTTAAGCGGTAAATATGTATATACGAAAGTTGAGGTGTTGGAGATGAAATTATCAGATCTTGGTAAAAAGAAAAAGTAAAATATAACTGGATAAAAGTATTCCTCTTAATAGCAAAACATCATTCGATCTTATTATCCTAATTACCTGACATAAAATTGTTCACCATCATTCCTACAAAAATGAACCTCATTTCACAATTACTATTACTTGTATTGCATCACTTCAACTCATAAATTATTTACTTGTATGTTATCACTCCAAATGATAAGTCATTGAGTCACAAAACTAAATAATAAAAGAAGCATTCACATAGATATCACCCAATTTTTTTATGTAAATATGAAAGTTTAGGAATATATTAGAAGTTATAGTTGATAGAATAGTTGCTATTTTATTAATTTATACTTGCCCACACATTTCTTTAATATGCAAAACCGGAGAATCCTAGGTTGTCATGTGTAAACTGCAAGCAGCAGCGTTTCAGAAATAGCCAACAGATGCTGTCATTAAAGCAGCAAAAAAAGTCGTATTTTATGAAGAAGAAAGATATTTTAATTTTTTTGATTCTCCCCCGTGGCTGGTCAGTGTCAGCGGCTGGACCAAGGATCGAGCAGAAGTTGCAGTAATCCTCCGTTCTCTCTCTATCTTCTGTCATTATAGCCTTCAGATTCTCAAGTTTTCAACCAATCTTCGGGTTCAGTCTCTTCATATACGCATCTATGTTCTCGCATTTTCCCTCTCTTCTGAGTCAACGCAAACAAAAATAGTTTTTGACGAACATTTAACTTTCTCCTTCTCTCTTCCATTACAAGCATTCACCTTGGCTTGCTTTCTTCTGCTTCCTGTCTGAAGATCATTAAGTTGGTTAGTTTTCTCTTTTTTTGACTTTTCTTTTATATAGTCTTCTTCCTCTTCTTATTGTTTGCAACAGTTTAGTTTTTCTCTTCTTTTTTTTTACTAGTATTGGCATATGATGGTTAAAAACGAGTTCTTTGCTCTGATTTTACCATAAAAAAGTGATTTTTGATAATCTTGAAGGGTAATCTTCTGCATTTAGCTTGTTTCACATTTTCATATCAGGCCAGCCTATTTCTTGTTGATGAAGGGAATTATTGTAGCTTCTGCTTCTTTTATGTTTAGGATCACGATGATTATTTCTATGGTATTTTTTTTTTTTTTTTTTTTTTTTTTGGCATGATATTAGGGAACCGTGAAGGATTTAGAAAGTATTGAGTTTTACAGCTATATTTGTTCCCCAACGCCACTTTTTCAAAATGGAGGTTGAAAAATTTGCTTCTGTAAATTTTCTTTTGTAGATGTAGAATATTTCTCTTTTTTTCTTTGGGTCGCAGAGTCCTCTTTTGGTGGAGTTTTATTCCCTTTTGCTGTTTCTGGTTGTCTTATTTCATTGTCGTCTGTGCTGTGCATGTTCCTCCTAGATGCCTAAGGAATGCTTGTAATTTTTGTTTTGAAGCCGTCTTCTCTTCTATTATTTTAACAAATTTCTCTGTCATAACGCTTTGCTGTTTTTAAATCAATAGATTACGAAAGAAATCGTTAGCTTCACCCATCAATGCGTCAACAGATAAAAGATGTTGCTTTTACTCTTATACAAAGAGAAATTGTGTGTTTTTATTCTCCTAATAGGCGCACATATGATTTCTTGTTGCTTACAGATGGCAAAGGATGCTTTGGTAGTTCATGGGAGGACGAAGAAGAGGAAGGCATCCGGAGAAGCTCATGCAAGCCCCACTTTCTCCTTGGATGAACTGAGTCAAGACTTACTTGAGAGAGTCCTTTCATGGCTTCCGGCCTCAAGCTTTCTCCGGCTGCGTTCAGTGTGCAAAAGATGGAGCTCTGTTTCCACCTCTCCAACGTTTCAAATCGCCTGCTCCCAGATCTCATTCAGAGATCCTTGGTTTCTTATGGTTGATCATGAACTCAACCAATCTGTAATTTTTGATACCAGTGAAGGGAATTGGAAGGGTCTCATTCGCCCTACTGGATTCAGCCAAGCCAAGCAAATCGCCATTGCATCCTGTGACGGCCTGGTCTGCTTCCGTGACACCTCCGGCGGCGGCTTAGAGGTTTGCAATCCGGTCACCGGAGCCCGTCGCGAGCTCCCTCTACCTGAATTTACCCAGCCTCTTCATGCTATTTCCATGAGCTCCTTCCACAAACACTCATCTTTCTCCTCCTACAGAATTGTATTAGTTTATGGTGAATTTCCAAACCTCTCTTTCAGACTGTTCAATTCAGAAAAAAACCAGTGGGAGGATGAGGTGATCCTAACACATAAGGCAGGGGATTCCTCCGACACCGATATCTCTGGCGGCCAAACTGTCTACTTTCTCAGCAAATCCGGGGAGGTGGTGGCTACAAACATGCTCAGAAGCCCATCCAAAGAGTTCTCATCAGTATCTTCAATTGAAAATGGTGAAGAGATAGTTTATTTTCTCAGTCACTCTGGGACAGTGATGGCTTGCAACCTCAGCAAGAGAAATTTCTATGAGCATCCAAGGCTGCTACCAATATACTCTGAGTACTCCATTGATGTGGTTGTCTGCAAGGGTGAGTTGATGGTCGTCGTTCTGTCAGAATTCCTCGAGACGGCAAGTGTTCGGGTGTGGAGATTCTGCAAGAGGAGCAAGTCGTGGAGGCAGGTTGCGGCAATGCCGCCGTCAATATCTCACGAGCTCTACGGTAAGAAGGCTGACTTAAACTGTGATGGATGTGGGGATATGATCTTTGTATGTTTGAATTCTGCAGATTTCAGCAGCTGTGTGGTCTGTAATGTTGTGGAGAATGTTTGGATGGAGCTGCCAAAGTGTGTTGTGAATGGGGAGGATAAGGAATTTGTGTCTGCCTTCTCTTTTGAGCCAAGAGTTGAGGCTTGTGTTTGAGTCTCATGTGTATTGAATTCTGTCATTTTGATTGCTTGTGTTTGATTCAATGCTGATGCAAGTTTTTTAGCTTGTTTTGCGCACATTTTGATTGGCATCTTAGTAAATGTTGTGCTGATGGCAAGTGCCTTGTTTGCAATGTTGCTAAGAATTGACTTAGTTTAGGGATGATGAATGCAATATTAGGTTGTGATGATGTTAAATATAACAAATAGAATGAATACTTAAGAGAAACAATTAGAAATCATTTAATATAAAATATAATGTATTATTTTAAAATATTTTTAATAATTTAAGTATAATTATTGAAATTTAATATAATTGGAATATATTTTATATTAATATTTTTGTAAACAAGACCGCACTCGAGCTAATTATCATAACCCAACTTGATAATACCTATATACGAAAATAAGTTACAGTAAGTCGAATATGTAGCATATTATTTAGCACAATCTATTAGGAAGGGATTATTTTTTATTCTATTTTTCATTACAAAGAGTTACTAAGTCATCAATGATAGCATGAAATAAAGCTAAAGTTCATCGTCATCACATGTTCATTACATGCATCAAAATTGCTTACATTCAAAATATTTATATATATTGATCATGATTTTCTAATAGTTTTAAGAAAACATGCATATTCACCAAGATAACAAATATACATATATAAAAAATATTTCTATTAGCAAGTACTATCAACTCATGCTATTAGAGCCTTACCTTTTCTTGAGAGCATGTAATCGCAATAAGAGTAGGGTTTTTAACGATCTGATTTCGAACCGAGCTAGGGTCGGTTCAAAATCACGTCGAAAAAAATTCGATCTAAAATATTGGTTCATAGCTCAACTTGTTTATTTCAATCCGAGCCAAAATCTAAATCTATTTTCAAGCCATTAACAATCTTTGATCTAAATTCGTTAAGCTCTTATCCTTAACACTAGGGATGCTAACGATTATATTTTGGAGCTGAGCTGAGATTAACTCAAAATAAGCTTTAAAAATTCAACCCAAAATTTTGGCTCGTAACGACTCATTTCTTTCAATCCAAGCCAAAATTTGAATCAGTTTTCTAGTGATTAACGATTTTCAAGCTAAATTTGCAACCCTTAATAAGAGTAAACAACCACAACTTAGTATGTTATATGAAACCTACAGTTGAAATCAATGAAAAAAAATAGTCAATATGTGTGATTACATTATAAGCATATCATGTATATTAAAGAAGTCTATAGATTATTAAACTTGTGTATGTATATTATAAGACATGCTGTTGAGGAATTAGGGCAAAGAAAATGCAATAATCGACACCATTTAAGAAGAAAACACGTAGATTTAAAGAGGTTCGGCAATATGGCTATGTCCTCGAGAGTAGAGTTGCATTCTCCTTTTGATTTCACGAAAAAGAGTACAAAATCCCTTTTAGGGTTACCGTAGAGCATATGTAGTTATAACCCTTTGGTACAACATGTAATTACAAAATTACCCCTGTACCGTACCATTGGTGCGTTGCCCCCGCACACCCAACCCACATAACAAAACTCCTCCCAATTGGACTGATACTTCCGCTCCACTCCACTCGCTCGCTTCGCTCCGTTCCACTTCAACATTTGTCCCCTATCCGGTACATGAGTCATACCTAACACATGCAATCACGACATGATATCGAATCACAATAGTGGCAGTATTTATAATTCATATCATCAAACACAACAATCATCACAAATGTACTATGCCGGTTAGGTGATCCACTTAATCATATGTGGTGTTTTTCCTGTACTAACTTTAGTAAAATAGGCACAATATCAAATCATATATTGTCAACAAAAACTTTTAAAACAGTTAATGAGTTGGTATAGTACACATGAATCATCATTGCCAGCTCGTCGACACTCATGTAATATCTTATTCACCTCTCATAACTCTCAAACTGTATTGGGTTTACACCACAAACTCATTTAATCACCACCAGCCCGTCGACACTCATGTTGTACCATACTCACCCCTTATAAATCTCAAACTGTATCAAGTTTACATCACAAACTCATTTAAAGGAAAGCTCGTCGACCCACCCTCTTGTGTAGTGTATCATATCTTTACAAACCTTAAGCATAATAGCCAACATTTATTGTGTAGACACATTTCTTAATGTCATAACGTATTCAAGCACTTGTAAGATACTCAACATTACAATGTATATGTAAAACATGCATGTAAAATAAAATTAGAAAAATCTACAACATGAAACAATATGATCAAACAACATGCAACAATTAAAATAGATATTTGTATATTAAGCGTGTATGTAGTGAACATTGTGTCAGTATTTCGTAATATATCTAATTTTAATTAAATTTTTAGTACTTTTTATATAACTCAAATTAGGACATTTTTTCTCAAATAAAATAAATGATCAATGAAAATTCGATTTCTTATGCTAAAAGTGCATAATAACATCAACAATAACATATTAAAAGTTATATGGTTAAATTTTTTAAAATACAAAGATATTAGTTTTGGACAACAAAAAGTTTGGAAAATACTAAAAATGACAAAATCAATGAAATCAAATGTAGAGTAACAACAACCTACTTTGAATCTGTTAATTTGGTTATTAGCACGAAAATCAAGACGAGGCCTTCAAAAATTCTCTTCACCTTTCTCTCTCCCTCCATTCTCCTCCTAATTTTCTTGTTACCTCTTACGGTTTGGGAAGGTAAATGTTAACTTGAAGATTCTTGAAAACGTTTAGTGGATTTTATACAAACACAAAAGTATCAAGGATTTATATGTAATTATTCAAATTATTTGATTTATTTTACAAACTTTATATAAAACATTTTATATATAGAAATCTAGTAGAAGTTGAAAATTTATGAAAAAATAGAAATAAAATAGTTTATCATGTCTAGGACACTTTGTGAAAATAGTTTGCAAAGCGAATATCAAACAGTTCCGGAAATAATTTTATGTCTGCACATGTATAGTTCTTAAGGGATTATAAATTAGAAAATTCGTGTGGTAGAGTAATGGATTATCGTCATAGTGTTGCACAGGAATTCAACACACACTTAGGTAAAAGAAAACAACTAGTAATGACACAAGAATTTTTTACGTTGAAAACCCGTAAAAGAGAAAAAAAAACACAAGGTCTAGCTCAGATGTAAAAATACACTATAGATTGATGATTACAGAGACTCATTGTCCCAGAAGCAAGAAAGAGTTACTAGGTTTTCCAAGTTATAACGTAGAGTGACAGTTTTCCGCCGGTGGTGATCGATGGTGATTGGTAGTGATTGCTCGTGGTCAGTGGTCAACTACGTTTGATAGTGGTTGACGGCGGCAGTAGCACTCGAGGGCGGTGGGCAGTGGTTGACAAAGATCAACGATGATTGGCGATAATCGACGAAAGCGCGGTGGTCAACGACGGTCGGCAGTGATCGACTGCGGTCGACGACCATCAACGTTGATAGGATGGTGGTGGACTTTTTCTCGTTCTCAAAGCTTTAAGTTCTTCTCAATCCTCCAACCCCTCTCATGAGACAGTTGGGGCTCTATTTATAGTGCTATCAGTGGAATGGATGTAGGAATATGAACTACTTTAATCGGACGGTTCAGAGGGTTTCAATTGATCAAACGACATTTGGTGAACATTTAAGTGCCTGAACAATGTCAAAATTGAGGATTTGACTTGTCGAGACGCTCGATTCGATTATAGTTTTGATAGATTTGAAATTTGTTTAACCTTCTAAATATATCTGAAAAACTTCTAAGCTTGGTTTAATGACTTGTTCTAAGCTTGATTTTACTCGGATTGGACTAATTTTGGTGACATTGGTTACTTCTTATCGAACCAATTAGTTTGACTATAAATTTACTAAAATCATAGTTCTGGATGAGTTTTTATTGAAGTTTGAACATTTCTTGCTCAAAAAGCCGCCTGGAGATCTGCCATGCCTCAAGATTCACGTCGAATGATGAAAATTTACTGAAGATGTATCAAGACTCTCATTGATTATATGAGAAGAAAGAAAAGAGAAGTAGGAACTAACAACTAAAGCATAACCCTTGAAGCGTCATATAAGATCATCGATCACCAAGGCTAGTCGTTGTGCATTTGTTGTAATTAAACTACCCTTAAACAATTTTAATTGCATGGTTATCTCATAGTAGTTGTGACATCAACAGAATTTTTGTAATCTCATGCTCCACATTTAAGAAGAAATTTGAATTGCTGAACTCTTAATTCCATTGGAAATTCATTTGGCATGTTCATGTCTCACGATCATCATAAGAAAATCGATTTCTAAACTCAAAATATGCGAATGAATCATGATTATTAAAAAAAAAAAAAGGTTCCAATGATATCACGGGCTGGTGCAAAGGAAGCCCATTTAGCAATTGCGTCTCTGTCAATGTACGAGGGCTTATTTGGGCCTTAGAGTATACCTTTTATTCAGTTATATAACGTTAAGATTGAGCCCAATAAATGATTTGTTTTAGACGGTTTCGCTGAAATTTTCGACAAATTGGTTTTAGTGATGTACTCTTTTCGATAGGGATGTAAATTTAACTTGGAGATCATCACTCAAAAATTAATTTAAATTTTAGCCGAGATAGAGCTGAAATTTTGGATCAAATCTTTCTAGTTGATTTCGAGCCATACACAGATTGACTTGAACTAGCTCGAGATCGGCTCGAAATATTTGTTATTTATAAAAATTATATATAATGCTAAATAAAGTTGAATATAACGAGTCACGAGCCAATTTTGAGTTCGAACGGATCCAGATAATTCAATTTGAGCCAGGTATTGTCGATTTCGACCAAAATTGAGCAGATTTTGAGCTGAAATGGATCCAAATAACTTAATTTGAGTCAACTAGTTTTGATTTTGAATCGGATTGAGCTCGATTCAGTTTTGAGCCGAGCTGGCTTGATATCGAATGTAACAAGCCACGAGCCTCACTCAATTAATTTGAGTCTACCCCAACTGGACTCGAATCGATAATAGGAATAAAATTGATTTGAGTTCTAATATACTTGAAACAATTTTTAAATTTATCAAACTGAAATTAAAAAGTTGATCTTAACTAAATAAACTATTTAAATTTTCGGCCAACACCTTCAACTTATATTGTCTAAATTGTTGATTAAAATTCAGCATGGTAACGTATAAAGTTATTAAATTTATTTGTTACCGACAACTACATACAATTCACTCTTGACTGAATTCAATTTTGAGTTTGATCAAATCATTCCGGCAATAATAATAATAATAATAATAAAATGTATCTTAAGAAAATGTATTATCATAAAAATGTGTGAATTAAAATAAAATTTCTAAAAAAAATCTAAATATTGATAGTTAAACAACTTCTACATATCATTAAGTACCCTTTCGAAAAAAATGCGTACTAGTTCCGAAAAGTCTTTAAAATTAATGCTTTAAAATGTTTGCTCAAGGGAAAGTGAGTACCAGTTCTTGGGGAATTAAGTACCGTTCTAGAAAAACAAAATACCACTCGGGAAATGCTAGTTTGCAAGCTAACCCTTTTGTGCAAGTAAACTGAATGTTTGTTGCTTCTTTTAAGATCACGGATTAAGTTTACGATTTTGTCCCCCGTCCGCATTGTCTCACGACAGTGTCCAACTCGTCTCTTAAAATAATCAGGGAGGTTGACATCCTTCGATGCCCCCAGATAAGGATTGATGTTGGGGGGCTGCCGAATTTTTGAGTGATTTGAACTTGACTTTTTTGTAGTATTTGGAATTTTTGGACTTATAAAAAATTAAAATGTCAATAGCTTGAAATTTTAAAAATTTCAAAATTTGAGCTTTTAAAATGTAGGCTCCGAGAACTTAAAAAAATATTAAAAGTCTTGGGCTTTTGAAATTTAGATTCTTTAGGCTTAAAATTGTTTTAAAATCAACACTTTTAAATATTTAGGCTCTTAAGGTTTTAAAATTTTCAAAGATTTAAATATTAAGATTTGAATTTTAAAGCATGAGCTCATAAATTTGAAAATACTTTTAAGAGATGCTTGAGCTCCTATGGCTTGAAAATCAATTCCTAAAACTATAATACTTCTTTAAATGTGCGAATTTATAAATGATAAGAAATGTTTAAATTCAAACTTGAAGGCTTTCTCAAAATCAAATGCAAGGTTTTTGAGTTTATACAAGTGCTTTTGAGGTAAATGAATAACAAACTGAACATTTTCAAGCTATAAATATTTTAAAATATTTTTGGGTAATCTCAAAATCTTGTATAACACGATTTCAAAATTAGTCCGCCCGCATGTGCTCCAACCAAAGTATTAAATGCTTAAATATAAAATTTGAGAATGTCGTGCGGGCTAATCGGGCTCTCTTGTCGATTAAATAAGACTGTCAGTCCCACCAACTAGTCTGGTCCTCCTATTCGGGGTTGACGAATCTAATAATTTCAAAATAACTGTCCAACTTCTAAAATGAAAATTTAGAAGTACAAATCACGTACTGCGGTTCTCTTCTATGTGAGGATAAGAGTCGACACGACTTATACCCTAAGAGTAAACATGACAAAACTAAATACCCTCACTTCAAATATAAAAGTTTTAAATGTTTAAATATCCCGATGATGGTCATGTTGTATAAGGATTTCAACCGAATGAGTCAATCTTTCAAATAAACACTTTCAATATAATCAATTAAAATATCAATGCTAAAAATCAATCACTAAAACCTAAAAGCAAATTTCATTTACCCTTCACAACAGTTTGTCGAGAGTGACAAGTTTCTGACTAACTTCAGCTCACAAATATCAAATATCATATCAAATACATCTCTATATTCACAATTAAAGTACTTGCATATCAGTAAGGAAGTGACTCGAGTCCTCTGTCCTCGTGGTTTGGCTCAATGACACCACAAATTAGCAGTTACGACCAAAACCCTCTGATTAGGTGGTTGCCGTCAAATGACTTCATTATATTACGATCACGATATAATTGACTTTCATAAAATTTTCTGTCAGTTAAGGTCGATTTAAATTTATCCTTTTAGACAAATATCCACTCTGGATTTATAAGGATCACTTAGACGACGTAACCCATGCCAGCTGACAGTGATTCTTTTGTTTGGTTGAGTCAACTACCTCCTCTAAGTAGATCAGGGACCACGATGACCCGAGATGAAGAAACGATAGGATCTTGATTGATTTTGTCTTAATTCTCCCACCATCTGCTTTAAGCTTCAAGTGGTAAATTCTAAAATATAAATCTTAAGTATGCTGCTATTATATAATGAATATTTAATTCTTAATAACTAGCCATAATCGAAAGTGCTATCGCATTATCGGAAGGGGTAATTAACTATAGTGCGTTTATGGAAAACCTCAAATCCCAAATAAAAAAGTCATTACAAAAGAATGGTAAAATCTTTAATTAGGGTCTCATCTACAATTTAATATACCTTCTGAAAATTTGACCTTCCCAAGCTCTCTCAACAAAATAAAATAGAAAACAAAATACAAAGAGTTCACAGGGAGCGATCATTTTCGGAGGCCACACACATATGCGACTTTCATTCCTCCTTTGCATCTCCTACTTTGGCTCCATATTTGATATAATTGACAATCCTCTCATTAGAGGAGAGAATTCAACTATTCACATGTGGCCATTTTAATGAGTTTAAAAATGTGTCAAATTAATTCCTAATTATTATAAAATTGAACTCTAATAATCCTCCATGAAAACTATTTAAACCACAAATTTAAGTGGTTGTAGCTACTTTGACTTTTCATTAAACTCTAAAAATAAAATGATCCCATGTAAATTATTAGATACTATTTAGTCACTCTACTAGTTTATGTTTTATATAAAAACAAGGGCATTTACATACATACCAAAAAAATCTTATGTATCTACATAACTAATACCTAAACTTTCAAATTTAATTACATTATTAACATTTAAATCCTTATCAACACATCAAAAATATAATCATTTTTAATTTTTAAAGTGAAATAAGTCTTTTCATGCATAGATTTAAGAATATAAACATCAAACAAATAATATGTAAATATTTAAAAATTATGTAGCATATACGCAAATTTCTACAAAAAAAAAAAACCAATTTCTCATTCCTTTAATCCATGATATTTATTTTGGAACTCTTTTGTTCGGCAGCATCTGCATTCCTAATCCAGAAATCTTGCTTAATAAACACAAAGGAAAAAAAAAAATGAAAACTTTAAATAAATGTGATTTGCATTAATGACACTTACATTAAATCTGGCTACTGTTGCATCGGAAAGCAACCACATGAAACATAACGGTCGCCCAAACAAGCGCTTTGCTGCATCCTCATCTTCCGCGCCTCCTCCCCCGCTCTTAAAAGCTGCTGCGAGTGCTGCACCCGAGCTTCCACCCTCCACTCCTCGGATCTCCTGTGCACAACTGCCATCCTCTTCATCAGCTTCTCCTCCAAGCTCGATCTCATGTTCTGAATCTTCACCTGGGACAATTAATTCATCACGTGATCACGTGATCATTAGCGAGATTAACAAAAGAAAAGTCAAAATGGGGCGGGTTTTATAAATATGAAATTAAGTCTGAAGTGATGGGGTTATGGGGAAGATTAAGCAGAAAGGAAGCAGAGCTAGGAAAAGGTGTTCCTAGGATGGAGAGTTTTTTAGCGTGTCCAAGTTTGTCAGGGCCGGACAGTGCTTTACAGCTCTCATGAAACAATTCCATGTATCTGCATCAATGCCGTAAAAAGGACAATTGCATGATAATAGAGTTTAATTTTAGGAGTTAGTACAGTTGTGAACAGTTCTGAAGGGCTTTTCTGCGAAAAAAAGATGAAAATAATGTATTTATATGCCATACAATTCTTATGTATTTACGCATCTAACATTTAAATATTTTTTTATATTTGTATTTATTACACTTCCATGAGTTTACGATGAATTTATGCTTGAAAATAGGGTTGTAAGGGACGTGTTCGACTCGTTCGAAATAGCTCGGGTTTACAATCGGCTCGTGTTTAAAATCGGCTCGTGAAAAGTATGTTTGTGTTCGGCTCGATTTAAATATTCGTGTTCGTGTTTGGCTCGTGTTCGACTCGAAATTGGCTTGTTAAACTAAAATTGAGAAAAATAGATGTAAAATTTGAGATTTGAATCTGGATCAAATCTATACAAAAAATCTATACAAAAAAAGACACTAACCCACATTGTCACACAAGGTGTTATGATTTAAACTTAGATATAAATATATATAATATATTATTATATAAATAATATATATAATATATTGTTATACAAAAAGTTATATAATTTTTTTTCAAGTCGAACAAGAATCGAGCCTAAAAATTTGTTCGTGTTAGACTGGTTAGACTTACCGAACGAACAGAACAAGAGCCAAATTGACAGCCTTACTTGAAAAGTTGTACTTTATTCTTGATGTGATGTTCAACATTTGAATGATGTGTGGTCGGTAAGTCTATGCCCAATATAAATATAATACCACAGGAGGCGTTAAAGAATGGTCTCAATTCATTTACAAAAACTTTATAGAACTTTCAGAAATGCCAACATCGAATCATTCCTATAAAATGTTATGCATCGTCCTAATTAAAATGCATGATTAAAGATTAATCATTCATGAGATGAATTAAACCGGGGAAATTTACAAACATACCACTAATTCATACGTATTAACATATCTACCACCTGAAATTTGATAGTTACTCTCATAAAGTTTTGATGTCATAATCATTTCACTTGTAAAAAGTTAGTAATCGTCCTTCTTCTATGTGAAGTTAAGACTTTGAAGTGTTTTGCATGTAAGTATGAAAGTTTAGGAGGTTAGATGGATAAATAGATAAAGAAATGTTGGTTGGTATGAAACAATTTTGGCTTCTTGAGGGTTGGTTTTCCAAATTGGTTGCTAAATTTAAAGGAAAGCGGGCATGAAATGTCTCCAAGGTTGAGCTATATATTAAAATCAATTATTCAGAATTATTTTTTTCTTTCACATGGGTTTGAAAGTGAGGTGTAAATTGTAGAAAAGTCAAAAATGGTACAGATTCTTACAGAGCAAACCTCATTGAGAAACATGAATCGCGTCGGATGGTTACTCCTCTGTGAGGGGGATGATGCGTGGTTCTCCAATTAGCAGAAGGTGTTTTTAATTAAAGTCTGCTAAAAATTACAATTTTATATTTCAAGAATATAAATTTTTTTCTTTCAATTACCTCAAGTTTTTTAGACTTCTCTTCTGCTTTGGCAGTCTGCAGATTCACCCAAGCTTGAATCTTTGCTTCCTCTCTTTGATACCTGCAAGAAAAGAGAAGACTTATCAGATTTCAATAGTAACAAGATCATTTAATAAAATTAAACTATGATTCAGATAATCACCTGATACAGCTTTTGGCTCTCTCTTCATTTTCCCATAGCGAAGCTCTGGATTCAGTTGTGTTCAATCCTCCATCATTCATCTCAAAGTATCTCAAACTCTTTGATACCTCTTCTTCCTCTTCCTCCCTCGAGCTCCAGTTACAGAGCATAGAATCATACTGAGCGCTGAGCTCAAGCTTTGCAAAATGGAAGTTATGGAGCTCAGAAATGTTAATTTTTGTACTGGAAGCCACCAAAGGCCCAGACCTCAGGAGTATTATGCCTTGCTGGAGAAGAACATTTCACGGGAGTGTGGCAACTCGAGGTGTTCAGGCTGCAGAGTGGAGTTATCTCAGTCCCAACATCTCTGCTCTGAAGCGTAGAAACTAAAGTTTCAGTTTTTTTCTCAGGTTGGAAAAACGAATCCTTGAACAAAATCTCTCCTTTGCTTGTTTCTGAGAATTTGAAATTTCGCAAGACAGGCTCTGTGCTATCAGTGAATTTATCTGCAGCGCAATCAAGAAAGTTAAAAAGGAGAATATTTTCAAGGAATTAAGTTGAGTTACTCCATGACATTGTAAATAGATTTCAACCTTTCAAGAGAGCTTTTGAAGAGACGCGATGGAGAGCCGTTTTTGTCTGAGTGAGGTCTTGTTCCTTCGCAGAGGACTCAAAGGTTCGAGCTTTCTGTAGCGGAGCCCCATTTGGTTTAGAAGAATTTGATGAATCTGAATGTTTGGGTAAATCAGCAGGAGATTCATGGCAGGAGCTACTACTCATCAGCCACTTATCTGCATTATCCCACTTGGAAGGAAAGCTCTTCTTATAAAGGTTTCCTGTGGTGAAGTTTAACAGTTGCCGGCCAGGGGTTGAAGGAGTTTCCAGTCTCCTCTGCAACCATGCAGATTTCTCTCCTTCCTGCCCCCCAGTAGAAATGTTAAAAAGTTCCATATTTTCTTTGCTCTCTTTACACTCCATTGGTCTCCTTTTGATGAAGATTAGAAAGTGGAAAGTTGTGTTTTTACCCTTCGTTGGAGTTGTTGAAGCTCGACTGAACCTCTAATTTTAAATCCTTCAAAATCTGAATCTATCAGATGAAATGATGAACGGCAAAGATATTGAGCGGGGTAAAGAAAGGAAGAATCTTCACCCTACCGATGGATTTTAGAGCAAAGGAGGCTTGTAAAGATGATGCAGGGGGTTTCAAGGAGATGGGAGGGAGAAACTCCACAGGTTTCTTAGAAATAGAATTACTGTTTTTTCGGGGAAGTTGCGCTAAAAAATAATATTGTGCCATATTTGAAGGAGAGATTATTACGTGCGGACATCGCATGCATCTCTGCATGCGGTGTTCGTTCTTGGCCGTAGATCACGGTGATCTACGGTCAAGATTATTTCCGTTTTTAAAAAAAAAAAATAAAAAATTTTAGGTGGGGCCCACCGAAATACATCAGGACCGTAGATCATGTGATTTACGGTCCGGATCGGCGTCCGCACGCAAGCGAACGCCGATCCGCATGGAATAATTTTTCCATTTGAAGTCACCATGAATGTGAAACTAAAATATGTCCTGGGTAAGTGTGGTATCAAGGGAATACTGATTTACATAGATATAAGAGTTCTTTAATGTTGGCTACTGAATTGTTTGTTGTGCTATGATTCAGAGAAATATTACATAGTTCGTATATATATGGGCTACATAAGCAACGAGCCAATATTATCTATATTGAACATATTTTGTTTAACGATGCAGATACAAGAGGGTCGTCATTTATCTTTAAAGCATTAGAGTCAGGGATGTATATACAGTTAATCGAATGTAATATTTTTTTAATGTTCATTATTCAAAAGATTGTTTTAAGATTATCTCGAGATTCATGCCGATAAAGTCATCAAAAACTCTGATTTCATTAAACTTACTCAAACTGAGCAGCTCAATGAGACTGATTTGATTATACTAAAATTGATATAATCAAAGTCAAATCAAGGTCAAATCAAGCAATTAAACTAATTTTAGAAGTTTTTCGAGCATATTTGGGAAGTCGAATGACTGTTGAATATAATAAGCTTATGGTCGATTTGAGCATCTCGACAAGACTAATTCAGCAAGCTCGAAATTGCTCAATTCCGGCATCGTTTAGGTACTCAAATGTTTATTAAACACCGTCTGATCCAATGAAGCTCTCCAGACCCTATGATTAAAATGATTCATATTACTGCATTAATTACATCCAGAATACTATAAATAGAGCCCCACTATTCTGATGAGAGGGATGAGAGTTTGAGATATGACGAAAAACTTAAAGATTTGAGAAAGAGCTGAAGTCCGACACCACCACCATCAACCGCCACTAACCTCTGTTGACTACCGCTGACCATCGCCAAATTTTCCGATTGTCGTCGACCACCGCCCACTATCATCGATCACTGCCAACCATCATCGACCACCGCCGACTGTCGTCGATCACTGCCAAACACCATCAACCATCACCGACTGAACACTTTCAATCGCGCTATCGGTCGCCGCTCATTCTTGTTTGACTCTCTTTCCTAGCAACAAATCCATCAGCAAGTCAACGTTGTAACTTGGGAAAACTAATAACTATTTTTCGCATGTGAGACAAGTAGTTCCAACTGTAATTATTTATTTATCGTGAAAATCTTCAATTGAGTCGTGTCACGTGGCTTTTCCCTTTCCTAGTTTTTAAAGTAAAAACTTATGGTGTCATTATTAGTTTTTTTTTTTTTCCGAGTGTGTATTGAATCTTTGTACCACGCTAAGACGATAATCTGCTACTCTAGTATCATGAAGTTCTAACACGCATCATATATCAATCTGTAATTTAGTATGAATAGATTTAGACATATAGTAGGCCTAGAGGTCGGTTATCAATCCTTGAGTCGTCGGATTTCCAAATATCCATCGAGTATGGCCCTTTGGGGTGTTCTAATTATTCCTCTTATTTGAATTTGGTGATTATCATAACAGCATAAGTAAGAGAATGGGGATGAATACTAAAAGCCTCAAGCAATCTTACTTGTGTTCAGATGGAATTGTAAGACACATTTGGCTTCATTTACTTAGAAATCAAAATACAATGTGGAATAGGATCACACAAATTCGAGAAGCCCAGATAATAACTTTTTAAATATTTTGTATATAAATAAGAGAATTTTAAGGGTTATATATTAAATAAGCTTTCATAAATAAAGGTAAATCTTAACCAATAGGGAAGAAGAAATGGCTTCTCACAAATTATTATAGTTGCATGGTTTCACAAGTTCTACTTCTTACTTTTGGGTAATCTTGCATATTTTCTAAATTCTTTTCTAAATTGACTCTTTCGCCCAAAATTTGAGTCAAATATGTTATAAAACTGTTACCTGGAATAAAGCTAAACTCTTAAATAATGTAAAGGTAAAATTTTATTAGAAACTTCAAAGTTAGGAGTGTTTATCCTAGAGCACTTCTAAGAGGGTTTATCCTTGGGAAGTTAATCCAATTGGGCACAACTATGAGGCCACCAAAGCCAAAGCGGATATTATCTTGATAAGTGAGAGCTTGTGTTATTACAAATGTTATTAGAGCAATACACAAGTCTAAAGATAAAAGTATATGCATGGTGGATGATTTTTGGGTTAGGAAAACTGACGAGAACGCCAATTAGTTAAATGAGAGAGATTGTAAAACCCTTAAAAAGAAATGAAGCTAAATTCATAAAACATTAATGTGTCTTTCGGTGTAATAGTTGGGATTTCTCCCAAAACTCCAAAGTTAAGCGTGCTCACATTAGAACACTCCTTGGATTGGTGACCTCCTTGAAAGTTACACCAACAGGACAAAACTGTGAGATCATTAGACCAAAGCAAATAATATTTTAACGCATGAGAGTTTGTAAGCCGTTATTTTACGTAAAAGATGTAGGAATTTTAAAGTCCCTGTTATTTTTATTTTTTATATGATAAGGCATAGGTTGAAGCAACTAATCATTGGTTTTCATATCATCTTACATAAATGCTTTTCAGCACTTTTTTTCTCAAAGCAATTTTGGCCATTTGTAACATTATTGTGGAGAATATAGTTTTTTTTTGAAATTTTTGTGATATTATAAAATTTTTAACAAATTTTAAAAAATGGATAATAATTTTTTATAGTTATCACATGCTAACAGATCAGTTTGTAAAAAATAAAATTATTTTCATAATTTTTTAAAATAATAAAAGATAATAGCCAAAATGCAATTATTTTAAAAAATATATATTAAGCTATCACAAAAAGACCATAAATGAATTCTTTATTAAAAGCAATCTTTGCTACATGCTCTGAGATTTACATGCGTCCACGTCACACATTTTTTTTTTGTAATTATATATCTAATATCTAAAATTAGATATTCATATATATAATATTTTAACGTAGTGAAAAGATGTGCTTTATTTTTAAAAAATTAATAATAGGGTTACTTTAATATGATAAAAATTTGAATGTTAGAAAGTCATAAATTAAGCGTCTTAGTGTACAAAATGTCCCAACACACATTGAGATAATAAAAGAGAAGCCGTGATGAGACACTTTTTTTATGTGGAAAACACTAAAAAGAAAAAGAAAAATTGCATGGTCTAACCCAGTTGAAAATAATACACAAGTTTACCTTTTTCCTAAATTACAAAAGATGAAATTACATAGGTGATCACTATAAATGTGTAATAGTGGTTGATCGATCATAGCCATATTATAGTTGTAATGAATGTAGTTATCAGTGATAGTAAGTTTCAAGGGTCGTGGTCGATTACCTTCAAGTAGTTGTGAATGTTGTAGATGGTGACAATAACGTTGACTTGTCATTAGAAGCAATAATTGAAAGCTATTGTACTTATTGTCCATGAGAAATGCCGGTTGGCCACAATGACTGTTGTAGAAAGCTGGATGAGTTGTGAGACATGTAGGATGAAGTTGATCACAGAAGCCGTAGAGGTGAATTGCAATGATGTATGTAAGTGGTGGGGGCCAGAGTCAAGAGTTGCACGAGTTGTGAACCACATAGATTATAATTGTTATGTAGACCATAGTGGTAAGCTGTGATGACGTCTGTAGGCTGTAATGCTTGGATTTGAGATTTGCACCAGCAGTGAACCACGTAAGCAGTAGTTGGTCTCATAGGCCGTAGTGGTGAAGTGTGATGACGTCTGTAAGTTGCGGGGGTTGGAGCCAGGAGTTGTATAATCTATGAACAACGTTTGTCGTAGCTGGTGACACATGCCATAGTGGTGAGCTTTGATAACATCCGCAGATCGCGATGACCAGAGTCATGACTTGTACAAGCTGTAAACAACATAGGTTGTGGTGGTGGGCTATGATGAAGTCTGTGGACTGTGATGATCGGAGTCGAGAGCTGCAGAAGTTGTGAACCACACATGCCATAGTTGGTCACGTAGGTCATAGGGGTGAGCTGTGACGATGTTCATAGGCCACGTGGGCCAGAGTCGAAAGATGCGGTAAAGGAGCTTTAAGAGTATCGAGATTGTCACCATTTTTGGAGTGTATTGTTACACCATCTTTTGGGATTTGTCATTGCACCGTAAATGAAGTGTGTTGTTACTTTGCAATATACAATGAGATTTCACATTATATGTTACTGACTTAGTTGCAAGGAGCAGGTGGTGGCCAATGATAGTCGATGGTGGTCGTTGGCGTCGGCTGGAGTTAGTAGGAGGGTGACAACTCGATTTGGCCAGTGGTGGTCGTCGCTGGTGTTGGTCAAAGGTATGGACGAACGAAGTTAATCGGTGGCAGTCAGAGTTCCTCTACGGGGGTTTGTGTTTGCAAGCAGCGGCTGGAGTTAGCGGGTGGCATTGGCCGGTGACTGCAGGAGCAAGAGATAGATGGTGGTTGACGATGGTTGGCGGCTGTTGCAGATGCAAGAAGCCGACTAAGAGCGACGGTGGCCGGAAGTGGCGGCAGCGAGGCGACAGAGGCTGAAGGCAGCGGTGGTTGGAGATGGCCAGATCTTGCGATGCAAAATGTGAGATTGCAGGTCCCTCTTTTGCAGGCTCCGTTCTTCCTCCTGCCCGTGGTCTAAGATGTCATCCCATGAAAGTGGTAGGACTTTATTTATAGAGTCCATGTCGTAAATAAAAAAAAAAATCCCAAACACTCTTCATTTGACATCCCTGAGAGATCCCTTTGATCAAACGATGTTCGATAGACTTTTAAATGTCTTAATGATCTTAGAATTGAGCGATCTTAA